TTCAGCACTGCCTTATGGCCTTCATAATTTCTAATGAGCAATTATCTCTTACCTTGTTGACCACAGGTAACTGAACTTGCAGAAGGCAAAATCTCAAGTACAGGGAATGACTACATCAGTGTTGGCTTAAATCAAACTCCATTTACTGATGAGTTGGGCAGCTGGGAGAGGGAGTGGGTGCCTATGTCGAAATTTCTCTCAGGTCAGCACGATGAATGGAACTGTGTGATGCTTGGTTCATGTTTATACTCTTACGGATATATTCGAAGCACAATCATAGGAATAATGTCAACCTCAACTGCAACAGTAATTAATACTTCTTCTCATTTTGTCGGTATTAATTTTATTACATATTTTATGGTATTGACCTTGTTTTTGCTATTGTAAGACAGCTCTCATCCTTTTTGGGGGCTTGGGAGGTGAGAACAGTAGAACATGAAGATACGTCGTAAGTCCCATACAATACTTAATAATAAGTCACCAACAGGGTGATTCCCAACTCCAGCCCTCTAAATGCTGGGCATTGATGTATGTGTGTGGGAATGGCATCAGACTAGACAGACTGGCACTACTGATGCCTGCCAAGGTGAAGGCAATTCACTTTATAAAACAGTTACAGTAACCTATTGCATGCATGACAACCATTTACAGCAGATTAAACACACTTAAGAAAGGAGGCTGCTAGGCAAACACACTCAACACCAAAGCAGGGCTTGGCCGGCCTCTAACAGAGAGCCCTGCGGACGGTGGAGCGTGAGCTGCTTTTCTGCTTCAGTGAGATTCTCTGCCTGAGATCAGTGTTCCGAGGAGCATTCACAAATTGTTCTGAATTTCTAAAACACGAATTTTAGAAAAGGACAAAAAATATATATATCTACATACTGTGGGAAAAATTAGTGTTAAACAAATGCAAAAAAGAAAAATTGAGATCAGCAAAGTGTTGCTGTATTGTGTGGAAGTGACAGAGGTGGAAATGATGCATTGATAAAGGGGCTGAAAAGCAAAATCTGGAGGAGTAGAAGGAGATGGAGAAGGGGGAGAAGGAAGCTTGAATAACCATTCTTGGTTCAATATGGATTTATGTTTCTTCTTCATCAGGTTTGTTTATTGCAGCATTTCTGCCATGGTGAACTAAATCCTCCCGCCTTTTCCCATCAGTTTCTTCTTATCCAGAGACCCCGGAGTCTTTGCCCAGGGGCCACTGCCTGGTGATGAAAGTCATGTTGTTCAGCTTCCATAAACAATCTCCACTCTCATGATTAACTTTGGAAAACCAGTTGAATCTTAGCCTTTAGCTGCACAGGTGTATATGTGAATATGTGTAACATGCCAAATACACTAATTACATCCCAGCAGTCCCAGAATACACTAATTACCTGCCAATAGCCCCCAAAAGTCTGTTTTATTTCTACAAAAAACCTGGGCGAAATTAAATATTGAAAAATAGCAATGGAGTAATTTCAACGAAAGATTGTGATCCAATCAGGCTCTTGGGAGAAGCAGAATAAGGACCTCTCCTTACTCTTCTCACCACAAGTTGTTGCCATGAAAAATATCTTATACTTTAGTCATCTGAGTCTTTAACTCTACCCACTACGCACATTTTTTGTTTCTATAAAATAAAATGAGCAGATTTATGGACAGATGTACAAGTTTGTCGCAGAGTCTAGAAATCGTTTTTCTTTCTCTCTTCCACCTGGGTCTAAGTCTCTGATTTAAGTGTAAACCTTCTAAATAAAAAGCTGATTTTTTAAAATTAATGTACTTATTTTAGGTTTTGGGGTACATGTGAAGAACATGCAAGATTGTTGCATAGGTACACACGTGGCAGTGTGATTTGCTGCCTTCCTCCCCTTCACCTATATCTGGCATTTATCCCCATGCTATCTCTCCCCAACTCCCCATCCCCCGCTGTCCCTCCCCTGTTTCCACTCCACAGACCCCAGTGTGTGATGCTCCCCTCCCTGTGTCCATGTGTTCTCATTGTTCAACATCCACCTATGAGTGAGAACATGTGGTGTTTGATTGTCTGTTCTTGTGTCAGTTTGCTGAGAATGATGGTTTCCAGGTTCATCCATGTCCCTACAAAGGACATGAACTCATCATTTTTGATGGCTGCATAATATTCCATGGTGTATATGTGCCACATTTTCCCTGTCCAGTCTATCATCGATGGGCATTTGAGTTGGTTCCAAGTCTTTGCTATTGTAAACAGTGCTGCAATGAACATACAACTATTTATAATACAACTATTTATAATCCTTTGGATATATACCCAGTAATGGGATTGCTGGGTCAAATGGAATTTCTATTTCTAGGTCCTTGAGGAATCGCCACACTGTCTTCCACAATGGTTGAACTAATTTACACTCCCACCAACAGTGTAAAGTGTTCCGATTTCTCCACATCCTCTCCAGCATCTGTTGTCTCCAGATTTTTTAATGATCACTGTTCTAACTGATTTTAAATGTAGCATCAGCAGAAGGTCAGCAGCAGTTGGCGGTGTTGGCGTGATGCTGGGGGAGAGGTAAAGAGGAAGGCAGTGTTGGCGTGGTGGCAGTGGTGGAGGGAGGGGTGGGAGACCATGTGGGTGAGAGGGGGGTAAGGAGGGAGGGACCCTGTGCTTCCGTCGGTAAGACCCGCTGTTCTTCAAACGTCACTTCAAGTTATTGAATGTTTTAGTCCCTTCAGGCTTCCATACCAGAGACAGTGGTTTACAAACAGCAGAAATGCATTTCTCACAGTTATGAAGACTGGAAGTCCGAAATCCAGTGCCGAGAATGCAGCATCTGGTGAGGGCTCACTTCACCAGAAGTTTATAGGCGCTGTCTTCTCGCTGTGGCCTCACATGGAAGGTGAGAGAGCTCTCTGGGTTCTCTTCTAGGAGGGCACTGATCCCATCATAAGGGCCTCACCTTTACGTTCTAATCACCTCCCAAAGGCCCATCTCCTAAAACCATCGCCTTAGGTGCTAGGATTTCAACATATGGGTCTCGAGAGACATAAGCCATCACTCTGCAGCATTCAGCTCCTGGTCTCCTAGGATACTCAAAACATGCAAAATACACTAATGACATCCCAGTAGCCCCCAAGTCTCAACTCCTTCCAGTACCCACTCTAAATCTCAAATAGCAAGTCTCATTACCTAAATTAGATGCAGCTAAGACTCAAGGTAAAAGTCATCTTGAAACAAATTGCTCTCTAGGCAGGAATCATGAAATGAAATGTTATATGCTTCCAAAGCACAGCAGTGTTACAAGCATAGGATAGACATTTCTCTCAGAGGAAGAAATTGGAAGGAAGAAAGGAAGAATTGATCTCAGGCAAGTCCAAACTAAAAGCAAACTCCCTGGAATGCAGAGCATGGAACCCGATTTCCTTTGGCTTAGTGCTCTGCCTTCCATGCTCACTGGGGTGCACTGCCCACTTGCTGGGCCTACTGAGGTCACCAACCTTTGTTCATTCCTTCCCAGGTTAGGGTTTTCACACTGGAATCTTGGAAGGAAACAAACTTTCAATCTATATCACTGTAGATTCAATCTATATCTGGGAAGCTATGGAAGCTGTTCCTTAAATGTCTACTCACTCATAGACAACTTTGTATTTTAATTTTATATCTGGCTGCTGCAATTTCATCATTTACTAGTTTCTTTCTCCAGGAAAACCACAATACGTAGGGAGTTAATAGATTCTAGACTCTAGTGCTGACTGGATCACAGGCTTCTGTCTTTTGCCCTCTGCATACCTAGGTTACGCTGAACGATTGGAAGAATTGTGCCAATATCTTCCTACCACGCTGAATACCACGAGCTCCTGAAAGTGATCTAGATGAAATCGTGCGAACGACGTCATAACCTGTCGGACCCCACGCTTCCCAGCGCAGCAGAGCTTCGACCTCACCCTCACACGCCTTATCTCCCTGGGATCATGTGACAGCCACTGCCAGCCTGTCATCTCAGAGCTACAGTTGCACATATTGAAACCAGATTTCCAGCTTTATTCACCACTTTGAAGCTGTAGCTGAAAGATTTTATCTGCTTTTTAAGCAGAAAGAAAAGCATATAGGAGCAGAAATGTCCGTTGTTTCTTATAATAGGAAAAGTAAAACATTTCCTGAAGCCTTTATAAAATTCTATTTACAGTCCAGAACCGCATCAGATGCCCAGGCGTAGGAGCCGAAGAAGTAGAGGGTCATCAGGAAATATTCAAGTTGGTAATTTCATGTCGATTTTAAAACAGGAAGCTGCTTCTCTCACCTCACTTCCATACTACGCTGGAATTCCGCGTTCTCTCTCTGACAACCTCCAGCCACAGTTCCCACAGTTGAGGCCACCTAGCTCCATCCCAGCCCTCGGCTGCCTCTGCCTGTGGAGTAAATGAGGAGGAAGGTCTGTGGCTGAGGGCAAGAGACTCAGTGAGACAAGGGACCTGCGCTTTCTCCTGGGTGGGTTGGGGCTGACCTCTCAAGTGGTCAGAGGCCGCAGCTCTAAGCCCATGTTCTGGTCACAGGCCGCCTTCTAGGTAGGGGAGTGGCAGGGAGGGCACCACTCGAGCAGCCGACCCCAGCCACACTCAGCTTTGCCCACCAGCCCAACCCAGCCTCACAGAAGTAGGCTCTGTAAGCCCCCCATGCTTCCCCAGGGAAACGGCTGTGTTTCACTTACGGAGGACGATGGTTCCTCGCGGGAGTGGGCAGACTCTGGAAGCCTCTGAAAGGGGAAAGGCTGCAGTCTGGAAACATGAGAGGCAGGAGGGTTGAGGAAAGGGGGCGCAGGCGACTCCTCACCTCCGCAGGTTTCCTGCTGGTCGGGGTTCGGTGGCAGGTGCAGCTGCCAGCTCTGAGGGGCGTGGACCTGAGCTTCCTGAGAACGGAGCCTTGGGGTAGGTGGTGTCCAGCAACTCGCTTTGGTCTGGTCACCTGAAGAAACCACTGCAGGGCACAAACACTTCTCGGAAGCTGCTGGGGACTGCGATCAGGCATCCATGCTGCCGTCTGTGAGAGGCTGAGGCCCTGCCCTCTCTTTGGGGAAAGTAAGAGTTGGGCCATGGATAGATCAAGGGAAACAAGGCAGTGTCGAAGGCTCCGGACCGTATGTGCTCATGACACAATACCTGGGAAGGCTTAGCTGCCGGAGGGCAACCTCTGGTGACAGCCACTGAGATCAGCGGCCTCTGAGCACCCACTGTGAGGGGAGTCTTCTGCCAAGGACCCCTGGTTCTCAGCAGGGTTTGGGAGAGAGGGTGTTTACAGGAACTTGGTTAGCTGTTGAGAGGAATTTGGGGAGGGGGAGGAACAGGATGTCCTGAAGGCCTGTGTCCCCCGTGAAGCCATGTGGCCCCCCTGAAGCCATGCGGCCCCCCGAAGCCCTGTGGCCCCCCTGAAGCCATGTGGCCCCCCCTGAAGCCCTGTGGCCCCCCTGAAGCCATGCAGGACCCCGAAGGCTTGTGGCTCCCCAGCAGTGAGAGGGAGTATAAGGAGTCTGTCTCCATCTGCTGGATCTCCCGCTCTCTGCCTACCTAGAGGTCTCAGGGCCACTCTGCACAGCCAGGAGGAAGGAAGGATCCAGCTGTCTGGTGTGCATTGACAGGACAGTGCCACAGTGGGGATGGGGCGCTCTCCCTCCCTGGAAACTCTTCTCTCCTGCCCCAAAGTCACTTCGTGCTTGTGGCCTCTGCTACTCCTCTTCCTCTGTCTATGGGGCTTCTTAGTCTCCAGCGACCTAAGTTCACCTAGGGCTGGGCAAGCTTGAGATCAGCAGGCACCTCATCCGGCCAACATGTCTCAGAGTCTCCACGAAGACCCCCGTGCAGGGGTGAGGGTACAGGACATAAACTGAGTCACCACGGGGGATGCAGGTCTGTGCTGCTGCCGTAAGCTGTGTGTCTTCAGGCACGTGTCAGCTCGGGGAGGGAGGCAGCTCAGGAGGACTGCCACGCTGCGCAGTCGGGGCCTGTGGGAGATCACACGGTGTTATTAAACACGTGGCTAAGTTCAGTCACATGATGAGAGGAAACTCTCTGTGAATCGCAGCATTTCAGGAATCTGCTTCATGAACCTAACCTAGGCATAACAGAGTGGCAGCCTCCCACAGTAAAACTACGACCAAATAGCAAGGCATAGATGTTCCATTGGAGTAATGGTGATCACCTCTTGCGAGAATCAATGCATTTCCATTCTAAGGATTCTGGGTGGCACACTAGTGTGCCTCCGACCTGGGCATCGATCATGGGCTTCAGAGGACTGCAGTTCGGGACAAGCCAGCCTGGGAGAAGGGGCTGGTGTCTGAGAAATAAGGTATTTGCACACATGGTTGTGCTTGGAATGACTGAGAAGCCTCTCTCAGTAGAATTGCATGACTCAACTGCACAGAGAAACAGTGACCTTATTCTACTTAAAACTCCAAGTGAGCATTGAGGTCTGATGACACCCTTTCATCGGAAAATAACTAGCTTTGGCCTGCCGAGACCCAGAGGGAAGAGAGGACTTAGAATTCTCGGAACTTTCTGTGTCTTTGTAGGTTGTTAATGCATTTATGGAGGCCATTTCTAAGTGTGTCTATTGCTGGTGAGTTTCAATCACGAATATCACTGAAATTGATGTTCTCTGCTTCAAGTCAGTGTTCTGAGGGGAATTACTTCTGTGCCCTCCATGGCAAGCTTCTCCCCCCTCCTCATTTTCTCTCTCCTCTTCTCCCTTCACCCTCTGCCCATCAATGACTTCTCTTCCTCCCTCCACGCCCTCTCTCCCTCGCCTCCTGCCCCTCCCTCCTCTTACCCTTGGTCTCCATTTACTTTCCTGCCCATGCCCTCTCCACCCTCTTCTCTCTAAACAGGTAGGAAAGAGGATCCTGGGGCTGTGTCTCTTCTCCCCTTTGCCTCCGTGCTGCAGGTGAGGAAGAAGAGTCCAGGGCAGCTTTTGCAAAGCTCCAGGGGTAAGAGGAGCTTAGAGAAGAATGTCAGGCAGGTTGCTCTATGGAGACCATCAGACTCTGCTGGTTGGCGGATACCCATCTCTGCAGGACAGCAGCTTATTGCATCTGGAGGAGCAACGGTGATGATGCTCACCCCCATCACTGCCGGCAAACAGGGTCTCAGGCAGCGTCAAGGAGGACCTTCTTTCTTGTTATTTTTATGCTGATATCAATTGATTTATCTTCATTTCTGATAACAACATGAAGATAAATCAATGGCAGCTACTTTGACTTTCAGCCATCTTCTACCCAGGCCAAATTTATAGTGAGGCCACGCACCTCTGGCACTGGCATGTCAGCGGCTCAGCTCTCTCATTGCACCCAAGTGTTTTCATCAGAAAACAAGGAGAACACTGAGTGGATTCCCTCAGCATGAGATGAGGTGCACACTGCCTGCTCAGTGGGTGCACTGCCCACCGCAGCCTCTAGCCCCGTGTTGCAGCTGGCAGGGTGGTGCCCACGGCTCTCCTACTTGGCTCTCTCCAGACCTACTTCACATACGCATGGAGTCATGGGGAGGTGGCCTTTGGTCCCATAAAGGGAAGCAGAGGCACAGATGGGTCACATGGCTGCAAGAAGCTCCCAAACTGATGAGGATCAGGATCCTAGGAGTTGCCAGTTCCAGTGCTCTGGAGCTGCGCAGGGTCCAGCAGAAACTGTCACCAAATCCAACAACCACAGCGTTACACATTGTGGGATCTTCAGCAAGTAAGCGCACACGCTTTCAACCCTTGAAGCCAAAAAATGGAGGACAAGCACCGGAACGCCACCAGGCTTCCTGCAAACATGACGGGCCAGGCCCATAGACCCCAGGAAGCAACGTCTTCTTACGTTTTCAGAATTCAGAGCCATAAAGATGCCTGATATAAACCCCCTTACACACAAGTGAGGAAGTTGGGCTCAGAGAGGTACAGAATTTGCTCATACTCACACAGGGGATTAGGGCCTGTGATGGGATCAGAGACTCAATCACCTAAACATTCGCCCGTGACTGCCTCTGCCGCACTCTGGGTGTCTCTATGGTGGAGATGGTATTGAGTTGTTCACTCCACTTCTTACTGAGCATGTGTGGAATACCAGAAACTTCGGCATTTCCCTGATGAGCAAATCAGCTTCTTCCCTCATAGAGCACACCATGTAGGATGCACGCTGTAAGCGAGTGAACACTCATTCACTCAGTGAACAATGGACCCACTGTCCATTACCGAGGCCCCGTGGAGACCAGCACAGGTGCAGTTCCTGGGTGCAGGGAGCCTTCTTCCATCAGGTGGTCTGTGGGAGCAGTAGCCAGGCCAGCACTGGGAGGGAGAACACCCCAGCAGGGGAGGCCTGTGTGGAAACTACAGGGCAGAGGCAGTCGTGGGCGAATGTTTAGGTGATTTAGTTTCTGAGCAGCTAAAAGGGGTCACTGTGAAGGGACTGGGCAGTGAAAGGCGTGGTATGAGGGGAGCCTGGGGGCCAGCAGAGACCATGGCTCTCAGGGGCTTCTGGAACAGGATTAAATATAAAATGCAGCAGATGCTACTGATGAGTTGTAAGCAGAAACAATGTTATGTAGCAAATGTTCTTAAAGACACGTGTGTGCATGTGATGGTGTGCATGTGTGTGAGCATGTGTAGTGGCTGTGCCTGTGACAGTGTGCGTGCATGTGTGTGTGGTGGCTGTGTGTGTGACAGCATGTGTGTGTGTGAGCGTGTGTGGTGGCTATGTGTGTGACAGTGTGCATGTGTGTCTGTGGTGGTTGTGCCTATGATGGTGTGTGTGTATGTGAGTGTGTGGTGGCTGTGCCTATGATGGTGTGTGTGTATGTGAGTGTGTGGTGGCTGTGCATGTGATGGTGTGCGTGTGTGTGAGTGTGTGTGGTGGCTGTGCCTATGATGGCGTGAGTGTGTGTGGTGGTTGTGCATGTGATGGTGTGTGCGTGTGGTGGTTATGCGTGTGATGGTATGCGTGTGTGTGTGGTGGTGGTGCCTGTGATGGTGTGTGTGTATATGAGTGTGTGGTGGCTGTGCATGTGATGTGTGCGTGTGTCTATGTGTGTGTGGTGGTTGTGCATGTGATGGTGTGCATGTGTGTGAGTGTGTGTGGTGGCTGTGCCTGTGATGGCGTGTGTGTGGTGGCTGTGCCTATGATGGTGTGTATGTGTGTGACTGTGTGTGGTGGCTGTGCCTGTGATGGGGTGTGTGTGTGTGTGGTGGCTGTGCCTGTGATGGCATGTGTGTATGTGAGTGTGTGGTGGCTGTGCCTGTGATGGGGTGTGTGTGTGTGTGGTGGCTGTGCCTGTGATGGGGTGTGTGTGTGTGTGGTGGTTGTGCATGTGATGGTGTGCATGTGTGTGAGTGTGTGGTCATGAGTATGGGAGTATGTATGAGTGTATGCAGTGCTGTATATGTGTGTGTGGTAGTGTGCATGTGAATGAGCGTGAGTGTATATGTGTGTGTGTGCAAGTGTGTGCAAGTGGAATAGAGGGAGGAAGCAGGAATGTGAGTGGGGTGTGTGGCTGGCAGACTGACACTGGCTGTGGCCACATCTAGATGAGAGGTGTCTGTGGTTAGGGTCAGATGGTGGCCGTAAAGACAAAGAGGTAAGGAGAGAGTCAAGGTATACTTTGAAAGTGAAATGGACAAGGCTCAGAGGTGCGTTTAAACTGAGTGATGAGACAAAGCGTGGTGTAAATGGTAAGTCCTACATTTATGGACTCAAGCAACTGGTTGGGTAATGGTGCCATTTACTAACATAACCAAGACCTCATTGAGGACAGGCTGGTGAGAGAACGTGGCATTCGGGATGCCTCCCTGGGGGTGTCTGAGAGCTCTTCGAGTGGGTCTGCAGGGAGGGCCATCTGAAGAGGGGAGTTTGTGCCATCTGAAGAGGGTGAGGCTGTGGGCACTGTTGGCAGGTGGATGATCCAGATGCCATGGCGGGAATGACATCAACCAGGGAGAGGTGTGGGATGTGGATTCTGTGCTGTCCTCCCAGAATGTCCTGAAGAGGCCAGCTTTTCCTTAGAGAGCCCAGTGTCTCCTCTGACTTCCCAACACAATTGTGTGTTATTTAGACACTGCCTCCATGTCCACTCTGGTGGTGGCGCTGCCTTGCCTCAAGCCTCTGAACTGTAGCAGGTCAGATGGCAGGTCCAGCCAGGGAGACCATTTCTCTCCATTTTATTGAGGTAAAATTGACATACACAACTCTATGTATTTAAAGTATACAGCATGATGTTTTATATAGACATACGTTGTGAAGTGATTACCATAATCGAGCGAATTAACATATCCTTCACCTCACAGGTATGTGTGTGTGGTGAGAATATTTGAGATCTACTCTCTAAGTTCCGAGTGTCAAATACGTTATTACTAACTTCAGTCCCCATCTTGTACACTAGGTCTCCAGAACTGACTCATCTCATACCTGTACGTTTTGCCCTTTGACCTGTGACCATAATCTCCCTGCTTCTCCGACCCCCGCTCCTGCTAGCCCTTTCTACTCTCTTTCAGTCAATGATTCCAGCTTTTCTAGATTCTGCATATACGTGAGATCATGCAGATGTGATTTTCTGTGCTCGCTTTATTCCATTTAGCATAATGTCTTCTAGGTTCATCTATGTTGTTGCAAATGGCAGGATTTTCTTCTTGTTAAGGCTGAATGATATTTTAGTATATATGTGCATGTTTATCACATATTTCTAATCCATTCATCTGCTAACCTAAAGAGAAGACATTATTTTCAAACTATGTATCTGAAAGGGGGTTAATATTTTAAATAAATAGGGATCTCATACAGCTCAGTAGCAAAATAATAAGAATATTAACCTGATTAAAAATGGGCAAAGGACCTGAATAGACATTTTTCCAAAGAAGGCATACAAATGAGCAACAGGTATATGAAAACGTCCTCAACCAATCATCAGGGAAATGCAAATTAAAACCATAGACAGTTATCAACGCGCACCTGTTAGGTTGGCAATTATGGAAAAATCAAAAGGTAACACGTATTGGTGAGGATGAAACAGTCATGATGAAAACAGTGTGAAGGTTCCTGAGGAAATCAGCAGAGCTTTCATAGGATCCAGCTGTCCCGCTTGTGGGTACAAACGCACAAGAAAGGCGGTCAGTGGGTGGAAGAGCCTGCCCCCACCGTGTTCGCTGTAGCACTGCTCACAGTAGCAAACACCGGGAAACAACGCAGCGTCCCTCAGCAGAAGCCATTTGTTTTAAAGCTAACAGGCCACACCTGGTCACAGCATTGTTTAGAAAACATTCTAGGCCAGGGAAAGTACCCACATCTCACATCAGCACACAGCGCTCCACCGCAGAGCACGTGAACTTGGCAGCTCAGGACAGCGCACAATTATTCAATGAAAATGGCTGGCTGAATAATGACAAACTGAAGCAAGTCTCAATCCCTCTGCGTCTCCACCCTACTGCCTGTGCGATCGTTAAGAGGAACTGCCACAAGTCACTCTACCCCGTTTTGCTCAGAACCCTCCTGGTGACAGGCAGCCTCAGTGCCTTCTTCCTCCTCACTTTGTTCCCTTACAGAGCTCAAATCTCACGTCTTTAGGTTGGTTCAGAACGAACTAGCAAAACTGCACCCAGCTGTTTTCCTAACATCTTCATGTGCAGCTCTGTATCTCACAAGGAAAGAGATTCCCGAAAGTACAACCAAGCCATATTTGTATACTCAAAGTTGTGCATGCTAAAATCTGACTACTCCCTGTAGTGACTGCCCCTGCAGCTCTCACTGTGGGCTCCCATGGCCGCATCAACTGTCTAAACGGAAATATTTGCATCTCCAGCTCCACTCCTTTAGCTCCTGCAGAGTGAGAGAGAAACAACTAGTCAAACACGAAATCCATTAACATGTTAATTCAGCTCAACAAACAAAACCCATGAGCGTCCAGCTCAGCAGAGAGCCTACCAGGCATGACTGATCAGATCCCTAGCTGAAGCCACGCTCTCTTCCTCTGTCCTCTCTGGAAGCCTGCTGATTATGCAGCTTCTTCCTTCAAGTTCAGGAGACGCTGAGAAATGCAGTTCCAAAGGATATAAATTAGGAAAATGTAAATACCCCTGGCTCCCTCACACAGGACTAGGTTTGTGTGGTGGGGGAAGTTGCTTGACCTCACTGAATCTTGGTTTCCTCATCAGTGATGACCTGCAGAGTTTTGTATGATGCCCCAGGGCCCTGGTCCCACCATGGGGAGCTCGAAATTGGCAGGCCTGCAGTGGGCCTGAGCAGCTGTAAAAGTTCACAGTGACTGCGATGCTATCGAGCTGCATGGCATCAGCCTAGCTCATGGCTCCTCAGATACGATGTGCAGACTTCGATTCAACATTGTTAATGTAGGCTCTGAGGTTCTGCAATTCTAAGAAGCTCCTAGAGGGGCTGGGGCTGCTGGCGCATGGACAACACTTTGAGGACCCAGGTTTCAGGTCGGTGGCTCTCAGGCTTGGCTGCACCTCCCTCTCAACTGGGTAAGAGCTTATGAAACGATTGGTCAGGAATCCCTACCCTCGCCAAGCTGCAGGACTGTGACCCAAGCTGGCTGATTGTCTGCACCCTCTGTGAAATTTGATCCTGGTCTCAGTGACTCAAAGACTGTGGAAGGTCAGAGCTGATGAATCCAGATGACAGTGACACCCGAGACTGTTCTTGGTCCCTGAGATTCAGCTCCCAGAGCTACTGTGGCTTATAAACCACAGGTGCAATTTTCCTTTTGTAAAGTGCTCCATATTATTCCAAATACAGCCTTTTTTATTTGTAGAAAAGCATCTTTTTGTAACTGGGAATTAAAGAACCATAACTGATAGCTCTGTGTGTAAGGTGTAACATCCCATAATTCTACTCGACCTGCATCGACCTGCGTGTTAGTGTTGTCGTCCTCACGGGGAAGAGGTGACAGCAACCTCCTGCCTGGCCCCATACCTCCATCCTCACCCGAAACCCCAGGCCTGGAGAACACACTTGTCACCTGCCCTGCCTTGTGTTTGAGTTTGTCCCTCCGTTAAGAAGCACTCTAAGGGCGGGTTTTGATAAAATGACTCCATGTTGGAGGCAAAACGCCTGCCCAGCTAACTCTCGCTTCTGGGAAGGACGGGTCAGGTCAAATGGTGAGGCAGGCAATGCTTACAGAAGACCTTTCTTCATTCTTTTCTTCCAGTTACCTGTTCAGTTTTCATCTCCAGCCTCCTCAGCATTTGCCTGATAGGAACCTATTGATGAAATGTGTCCCAAAATCCTTCACCAAAGAACAATTTACCGGTTTTGAACTTCAGTCCTGTCTGCTTTCTAATATGACAAGTAGACAATCCAAGCGTGTAGTCCGAGATTGACACCAGCAGTCAATAACAGCTCAGTTGCTCACTGTCCGGAGGCTGCAAGCTCTGATCCAGAGACAGAGTCTACCAGCGGGTTTCAGGCATGTTTCCTAGGATCAATCAGTATCTCTCCCCCTTGCTTCCACGTGACCCATATAGACACTTTGTTACTAATCAAGGGTGAGCTGGTGGGGCAAGTAATCACATTGCCCAGCCCATGCCTTTCGTTTCATGTAAGCTTCACGCCTCGGCCATGGAGTGATGATGTCTGTCCCCTTCTATTCAGCCTGGCCGAATCTTTGCGACTGCCCTGAGTAACAGGGTACAATGAGAAGGACGTGATTTTACTTCCAAGGCTAGCATCCAAAAGGTGATATGGCTTCAGCCTAGTTCTCTTCAGAGGTTCACTCTTGGAAGAAATTTGAAGAAGCCCAAATAGCCACATGGAGAAGCCACAAACAGGTATTCTGGCTGGCAGCCCAGCGGAAGGCCCAGCCCGCAGCCAGCATCAAGTGCCGTGTGAGGGAGCGTGACTGCACGGGGTTTCGGAGCCCAGCTGCCAAGCTGCCTCCACCCTCCTGGTCTTCCCAGCTGAGGAGGCAGACAGTGTGGCACAGAGATAAGCCACCCTACAGTGCCGCTCTCAGATCCCTGGCTCACAGAACCCAAGAGCACCGTAAAGCAGTTGCTATCTTACATGGCCAAGTTTCGGGTGGCTCGTGGCTTCAAGAATGAGAAATTCCAGGCTCTCGGTCAATGCTTAGTCATACTGTCCAGAGTTTGTTCTCAGAGAAAGCACATGACAGAGTGGCCCCTTTTCTCTCGCATCTCTCCAGTGACTGCAGTGGGAAGTGCCCAGGGCCAGACAGGCTTTCTCTCTGAATGTTCTCTCTTCCCGATATAGTAACCAGGCTCGGCTGGTTTCCCACTGAGCGTTGCAGACAAGCAGGGTCCCCTGTGCTGTGACTCCATTTCCTCATGCTATTGTAGGGATTCTCTGGCCGGGCTGATGGAGTGTGGTTAAGCTTTAATGTCTGGCTATGAATGCATAAAAATGAATGTACTTCCCAGCACTTGGTTCTAAGCTCTGAGCTGGCCTATGCATATTCTCATAAATTCTCATGAAGAATTTCCCATTGAGTCCAAACTAGTTTAATGAAATTCCGTTTGGAGGCTTGGAACCAAAGCCCTAATTAATAATAAAATGTTACTTTGCTTTCCTTTGCCAGGTTAACCTATGAATATATTTTCCTTGGAGAGCTCATTGAGGAGAGGAAGGTGGCTAAAACAAGAATGGATCTGCACATGACTGCATCTCCTGGCCAGAAGATCATTCTAATAGCAACCATGAGAGCTCCCTGGGGCACCCATGGAGGAGATATTTTTGAGAGAGAAATCCCCAGTGCTTCTTGAATCATGCACTTCGCACAGGAATTTCCTGCAAGCAAACCCAGCCTTGTGCTATAAAGACCTGATTACTTCCTGGGTGAAGGCAGCAGACTGACTCAGTTATTCCGCGGATAGGTGACTTGATAAATGAGTTGGCAAGAGCTCTAAGACATGTCTTTCAGGCATGTATCTCAGATTTGTAAAATTATTTATTATTTTTATTATTATTTTTTGAGATGGAGTCTCGCTCTGTTACTCAGTCTGGGATGCACTGGCACGATCTCTGCTCACTGCAACCTCTGCCTCACAGGTTCAAGTGATTCTCCTGCCTCGGCTTCATGAGCAGCTGGGATTACAGGCACCCACCCATGCCCAGGTAATTTTTGTATTTTTAGTAGAGATGGGATTTCACCACGTTGGTCAGGCTGGTCTCCAACTCCTGACCTCAAGTAATCCACCCACCTCAGCCTCCCAAAGTGCTGGGATTACAGGCATGAGCCACCACCCCTGGCCTCAGATTTGTAAGATAATTTAAATAAGTCAAAGGGTGATAATTCTCCCCTAATCAAACTGTGCCCATATGCCGGCAAGGACATTAATGTCATGAAGACAAGAGGAAGCTGAAAAATAAAGAGACATAGCCTGATACAGGCCCAGAGTTCAGGCAGGGCAGGGACGCCATGAGGATGCGGCTCATCCACAGGGCCTGGGAACTGGCCGTCACAGCCGTGCAAGGTGGTGTTCTCTTCTCTGCGGAGACAGACAGGTCACCAGCCTGATGGAGACCACATTAGGGGGCAGCTGCCAGGAACAGGCAGGAATTGCACCAGAATTTCTCAAAGCCTATGTCATAGAATACTAGTTTAATTAAAAACTGCTACATGAAGATTCTGTATCCAAGTGAATTTTGGAATCAGGAAGATCTGAAGCAAGTTTAATATGTAGATTTCTCCAAAGGATTTGACCACATACATTTCATTCTGGGAAACTTAAAGGAACACTAATCATCTCAAGGTGTTAAAAATAAATTTTGCTGAATGGTGGGGTTATAGTTAATTTGCATTTTTTCTTTTTGTTTATCCGTGAATCATATACTTTACATAATGACTATATATTGCTTTTGTGGTGAAGAAAATATTTTAATACAATGAAAACTCTTTTCTACCTGAGGTCAGGCAGATGTGCAGAATGGTGGCATTTGGAAGGTGGGGATAGAGTGGCTCTTCCCTGTAGAGGAGGAGGGAAATGCAGGCCGGATCCAGGCAGGTCAGTAAAGACGTGAAGACATGAGAGGCTGGGGTGAGCACAGACAGTTCAGGGCCTTCTTGGTTCCCTCTCCTCACACCCTCCTTGAATAGTCTAATTTCTTTCAGGACAAGGAGCTCCAAGCGGGGCTGGCACAGGAAGAGCTCAGGATAGCTGTTGCCACCTGCATCTTGGCCAGAGGCTTTCCTGAGCTCAGGAGCCAAGCTTTTCAACCCATTCCTGCAGCCGATGACGAACAGCAAACTTTTAATCCATTGCTAAGAGCCGCTAATCCCAAGCCGAATTTAGATAAACAAAACAGGAATTGATGCTTTTTTTCATACTAACCAACATTCATATTTCTTCTCTAATTTCGAAAGACATAATAACAAAACACTTGGGATCATGCAGCAAAGATACTTTAAGGGAATATTTATTATGCAAATAACTAAATTAATCACATACATTTGCATCCTATTAAGTATTAAAAAGCAAAGCAGCTTTAATAGAATTAAATCTGTTTCTACCAAAATGATCTCAGCTGGGAGGAAGAGTTAGGACAAGAGTCATTTGGATAGAGGTTTTCAATCCTGCCTAGGAATTCTAAAGTTCTACAGAAGAAAATATTTTCGTGATAATAGTTTATAAATCATAAATGTTAACAGAAGTCCTGCAATTCCACCACCGACTTCAACACCCTAATGCAGTTATCCATGCTGCTTTTTCCAACATCCTCCAAACATTGATTATGGATTTACACAAGTTTTTCTTTACTAAATTATGTCTTACAGACCTTATTGAAACAGTATTGCTTGCTCAAAATCTGTGAATTTTGTGTAAGAGTCATATCCCAAGGTTTTCTAAGGGTTGAAAGACAGTCCTGCTCTGGAGTCACCCTCGGGCTTCATGTGATGGTGTCCACCAACCATCTCCAGCCTGCAGGAGCAGGAGTCCGCCTGTCTAACCCTGCCCAGGAAGGAGCTGACGTAGCCCGCACTGCTCATGCAGCCCTAGGTCCCTCTGGGCTTACAGGTATGCTGGCCTTCAGCAGGGGTCAGCCCAGGTTTCCAGTGATGCCATTTCCTCTCCTCAGGGCATTCTCGGGGCCACCCTTGGACTTCTCCACCCCACCCCCCTGCTGCCCACACCTCCTTTCAGGGAAGAGGCGCAGGTACCTCCCGCTTTCTTTCCTACAGCTCAGCTTTACACGTTCCCTTTCACTCTACACATCATGGCAACTTTCACCCCTTTTTGGACTAAAAGTTCCTGACAGACCTTTGGAGAGAACCTCCCTGGCCCTTCAGATCGAAACTCTAACCTACGTTATTTGCAACAGAAAGAAAAGTGCTTCTATCTGTCATTTCAGATAAACTATTTATTTATGTTTTTCTTTATAGCAGCGTAGTTCAGATTTGCTGGATTTGGAGAAAGAAGCTCAGGTTTGAATTGTGATTCCACTTCTTACTGCTCGGTGGCCTGGGGCAGCCAGGTCAGCTTTCTTAGCCCTGGGGTCTCCATGGCTGGGTAAAAACGCCCACCTCCACTCAGAACCAGCCCAGCGTGGTGCCAGCAACCCTGTCTAACACAAGCAAAAAGGATTTCTTAATGAAAATATTTTGTCTTGCACAAAGCAATACTTAATTTAAGAAACAGCCAATACAGAAAAGAAAAGAGAGGATTAGAAAACTACTCTACAGAAAGAGCTCAGCGCGTGTCAAGAGTTTAATAAATATTAGTTCTTCCTATTTAGTTGTGCTTTCCAACCCAGTAGGCATGCTTTAAAAGACGGAGAAGAAAGGATTACAGCAAAAGCAGTGATAAGAGATTCCTGCATCTTCACAGATCAAGCATCTTGGTCTGCAACCAGATTTGTCTGAATAAAGGGTTAGGAGCCAAAGTTTGGGGCGTTAGCACCCCATCAAAATTTGGGGCATTAGCACCCCATCAAAATTTGGGGTGAAGGCCATGGGGCCCGTGTTAGGCTGAGGACAAGTGTATATAAGGGTGGCAGGTGGTTTTGCCCAGAATGAACTAGAGGGCAACCATGTTGGATCTAGCAGTGGAGCACAGTGTGTCTGCTCAGCAGGAGAGGGACATGTGGGGCCACTTTGTCACACCCTTAGCTGCATGGCTTTGGGCCCCAGCCTGTAGACGCTGCTGGAATCTGCTCAGAGCTTTGAGGAGAGGATTCCCGCAGCCAAGCTATGGAGGGGGCTAGGATGTGAGGGACCAGGGATAGCTGCTCTTCACCTCCGAGGGCAGGGTGGGGAGGGGTGGGAGGTGGGCTTTGCCGAGTGCCAGGCTGCAGGTGATGCAGTGACTGCACCATGGCCAGGAGCAGAACCACACATTCCTTTTGGTTTCTGTGTAATCCCTGCCAAATTTGCAATAAACCCTGCACATCTGCTGGGGCGTCTTTCTTTCCCAGCCTTTGCAGTCACCTGTCTGGCGCTCCTTGCCTTATTTCCCGCTTCTGGTTTTTCCCTGTTCCTCCTGCTCCCTTTTTCTTTTCAGCTTTCTTTCCAGTCATATGCCCCTCTATTCTTTTCCTTTTGGCTACTCTGCGTGATGACTCTTCACTATCTTCCCGCTCAGCAGAACCTGCTCTTTCCACTGTCAGCCCATGAGAGGGTGGGCAGGGCTGGCCTTAGCATTTGGTGACATCACCTGAGAACCTATTAGGTGGTTAAGTGAATAAATGCCCATTATCATGTGTAAGCTGCTTGTGGTTCAGTTTTCCTACTTGGCACCAAGAGGCCTAAGTCATTCTCATCGTCAGAACTAGGCCCTGCTCCATCTCTAGCATGCACCTCACCCCATTCCTACCCCTGAACTGCAGTCTGGCCGAGGTGCTGCCAGCTGCCCCCGGTGCCACACCACTGCTGCCCCTCAGTAGGTCCCTGCCCTCCTGGCATTTCTTGGTGTCATGGCTTTCTCAGCCATGGTGCTGGTCTAATTGCGAGGCAGTGGCATCTGTATGGCCTCCTCCCCAGCCCTCGCCCCTGCCGTGGGGACTCTGCCTGAGCTCTGAGGGCAGGCGGGCACCCCCCTCCTGGCATAGACACTTTGCCTCTCTTCTTTGCTGCTGTCTGGCTTCCCCTTGCTTTTCTGCCCTGCCCTTCTCCTGCTTCCCATTCGTCAATTCTTCTCCCAGCGTCTCCTAGGGTCTAGGCCTGAGCAGTGGAGACCTCCATGAGCAGGTATGGGGCACCAGGCAGGCTCCATCCAGGAGCAGACAGGCCCGGACCAGCTGCAAGTTCTCCCAGGTGCTGCAGAGCCTGGCAGGGAAGCTGCTGCTCCTGAGCTGCCTTCAAGGGAATCCTCAGAATAAAGGGCGCTAGCAACAGGCAGAGCAGTGCTTTACAAAGACAGTTCTGAACTTACCACCATCCTCAAGAAGCTTCAGGTCCAGAAAGAAAAAATGAGCCACCTGCGAAGCACACCTGTGTTATCACCTGGTGAGTGGGGAGGACCCCACCCAGGCACCACAAAGACGGAGCGTGGGGAGGGAGGAAGCACAGCCAGGCCAGGGAGACCTGCAGAATGCGGCGGGGCTTCTGGTTTCAATGCTTACTTGGAGAAGTTAGTTCATCTGCCTAAGCCTTACTTACATGGAAATGCCAAATATACCAGCACCTGGATTGCCACAAGGATGAGATGATTACAGCATGTATGGCCCTGAAACAGTGGTGTCCCCCTCCCTGCCCCGCCCCATCGTTACCCAACCTTTGGTCTTCAAATTGATTCTATAAGGTAGGTAGGTATTTGTAAGTTCACTTTGCAGATGAGAAAGCCACAGCTCTGCGTGATGACACACGTGGGAAATGTGAGGCCAGGCTTCAAATCCAGGTGGGTCTGGGTGAAAGCAGAACATTCCCTCCGGCCCCGCTGCCCCCTCTCTGCATGTGATCTTGGCGGGGTTCAGTGCCTGGCACGCACACCGTCCACCTGGCTGGTTCAGGCCTTTCGCCCCAGCTGTGTCCTCCACCCCCAACTAATTAACGGACAGGCTGCTATGAAGATGCACTCCTCGTGACATTGTTGGTGGCCGTGATAATCACCTGTTTTTTCACATATTCAGCCACCTTCTGAAGGGTCTTTTTATGAGACTCTTTTATGGATTTTCATTGTTCTGGGCCGTTTATTATGCAAACACAGCCTCAAAGTGCTCAAGGCGGTCTGCTGAAATGTGTTGTACAAGATAAGATAATACTTTTATTCACAAACCAAAATAAACAAGTGTAAATGACAATAGAACTGGAAAAGCTTTGCTCTTTATAGAAAGGGATGCAGGAGATCCTTTGAATGCTGGGAGGAGTCTGTACTGGATGACCCTGGATGAAGACATGCTGTTCTTTTAAGTGAAGGTTTTCTTTTCTGAAGAGGCTTTTGTGAGGATGGAACAGCGAAGCCTGGTATGGGAACGGAGAAAGGGCACTGAAATGTAGGCACCTGGCCTCAGTCTGTGGAGTTCAAAAAGGCTGCAGTCAGCGAGGAAATTTACATTCTGTGTAAATAAGCCACTTTCAGAATGTATGTTTTGTCTTAGTTACACAGAAATTTCTATAAAAGTACTTGTGACTGTGTCTGAAAGACTGAAACTATTTTAAAAACACCTTGAAATATATTTTTCTCTGCCTGGATCTGTGAACAGTTCCCAGAAGCCCCTTTTCTCTCTCTATTGGAAAATAATAATTCCAGATTTTATGCCAATCCATCCACTAATCTAAACCTCAGCTCTTACGTGAGCTGTGCACTCATGTCCTTCATCCTTGTAATCACAGGCTCCTGCCGGGAGGGGCCACGCTGCTTCTCCCCCGGGGGGGTATGACCCGGCCGGTGACTCACATGTCTGATTCCACTGCACTCAGTCTCACGGATCACACTCAGCTCCATTCTCAGAGACCAAGGAGGCAATGGGAGGAGAAGAGGATCCGCACAAAGAAGCCAGGTGAAAGGCTCACATGCTTATATGTGATTAGATGAGAAACACATCCCCTTGGAGCTTTGAGCAGAAATATTAAGATGAGGAGAGGAATCAAGCTGGGTGCGCAGAGTCTGAACTGTGTGCTGCTTTCTGTGTATGCATGGAGAGTGTCCTCGGCATGCCAGGACCCTGACTGCACTCCCAGGCCCCATCGTGGAAAGATCCATCCATGGTTGGTCCTGGTCCAGACCAGCTCCTCACTTGAGCTTCCCTTACCCACACCCCTGTCATATTGGACCAGGATTCCCTATGAATCATAGATGTTTCCCTAGCACTAATTACACAGTCTTCTGGATGGAGAAGGACTAGGTTTAGGAAAGTGCATCTATAAACATGTTCAAGGTAGAAGTCCAGGCTGAAGACATTCATAAAGGGGTCACCAGCAACATAAGCCAAAACAGTACTGGGATTTCCTACACTGAGAGCTGCTCTTTGGATGTAGCTCTGGTTTTCAGCAGGTGATGGATAGGATGCTGGCAGGCACCAGCAAAGCCAGCACGCAGGCCTTCTTCCCCATGCCTGAAGCCCCCAAGACCACTCGAGCCCCCACCTGATCATTATACAGGGACCTTCTCTCCAGTGAGGGGAAGGGTACGAGCAATGACCTCTTTCGGCCGACCTGTCCAGGTCTGGGCTAGGAGGACCCGGACGGAGGTGCGGAGGAGCTCAGGAAGAGTGCTGTTTTTCTCTGCACTTAGCATTGGGAGTGTTTGGCCCAGAAGATGTGAATGTGGCCAGAGCAGCAACAAAAAGAATCAGCAACGTTATACAGCACTGGCGCGATGCTCCACCAGCTATTCAGGAAATAAGCAGACTGTGGCCACGGCGGCAGAGACAGCTGTGGAGTGGCCGTGAGTGCCGTGAAGGGCTATTTCCAGGGCTGCAATCAGAACAGTAGCAGAGAGAGGCCTACACATTCTCCTCCCATAGGTGCTGGGACATCGGGGTAGGGGACATGAGACTGCGTATTTTCCTCTGAACACTTTTCTCTATTTTGATACTCAGGAAGTAACACTGTTTTCCCAGTTGAAGGATTGCTCAGAAATCTAGAACTCCCCTTCACCTCATCTAGGCCACCAAATCCCCTGCTGAAATAAGGTTCCAGGCTATCTTGCCACTGCCTGTGGCCAGCTGCGTCCCTGGTCCCCCCTCCTACAGGGAGGCCTCTCCTCCCCTGCATTTGCGTCCCCTGCATCCCTGTCAGTCAAAGGGGTCTTCCTGGTGGGGGCCATGAAGCTGGCAGACAGGCCCTGACACAGAGCCCTGGGAGGGGAGGCACTGCTGAGAGGAGGAAGCAGCAGGCTTCCCCCACTGCACTCCGCAGGCTCCGCAGCCCCCTGCCCCAGGTGAAGCGTGCAAGCCACCTTCCCGTCTTTGTATTGGAGAAGGCAGGGTGGAAGTGGGGTTCTAATATGGAATAAATAAGAGAAAGCGAGACAAAGAGTTTGGGAGTGAGTTTGTAAAAATTCCTTGGTGAAGGACTCACTGTAAACACAAATCCCTGCCATTCAGCTAAGGGGAAATAGTCCCAGCAAGAGAAGGAGGGTCCCAGGGGTTCTGCTGCCGCCAACAGCACAGCAGCATCGCTGGACTTTTCTGCAGGCGAGCACGCGTTCAAATACCACCTCCGTTCACAAGCGCTGCCTGTCCAGGTTTAGCCTCCAGGCTTCCGGTCTTTCCAAGGGAAGGGATAATAACACCCACCGCATAGTGCTCTTTTGAACAAGAAACAAGATTACATATGCAAATAACTTAAGTGCCACTACTTTTAAACAAATGGCGTTTGTTAATTTTATGATTTCCACTTTTATTATTCCCCAAGTCATTATTTGAACACCTAGAATGGTGCTTGGCAAATAGTAGTGACACAACACATATTTGTAGAGCAGATCTCTGAACAAATACACGGTAAAATGAATGAATTAATGAATACCAAATTACTGTGAAAAACGTTCAGACCAAAGAAAAATTTGCTGAAAAGGAACCAACTTCACTTTCGTGTCTCCCCCAGCTCAGGCAAGCAGCTAACCAGGGGTTGCTCCGTGAGCCTTCTAGAGGCACAGTGGCCTGCTAGGAGAGGCCTGAGCAGGGCAGTGGGAACTGCCTGCTTTGCTGAAGCACCTCAGGGAGCAAAGTCCTCCATGGGAACAAAGGTCACAGCTGGTCACCAGCCCCAAGCAGCAGAAAGCAGACCAGAAAGAGCCCCTCGGTGTACCCTGCAACACCCAGCCAGAGAGAAGCAGCAGGAGAGAGGGCTACTTCCTGTAAGCAGTGGAAGATATTCTGGACATTGGTCCTGCGCAGTAATAATTGAAATTTGCTCTTTTCTGGAGCCATGAAACTACTGGAATAAGTAGTTATTTAGTTTGCCAGAGCCAACAAAGCTTTTGCTGCAAAAGAATGATCAGTTTCCTACTGAGTTCTACATATAAGGGCGGTATGTTTGATCATGACGTCATTGAGCTTGTTCCTCGGAGGATATTTATGGGGGATAAATTTAAATTTACCTTTTACCATTCTTTTGGCAGAAGGTGTCTCTCCAAAACCTAACATTTGGATAATCCACATTAAAACTAATTTTATTGTGGCTAATTTGTATTAAATGTTTTTTAAAATAATCGTATTTATTAAATATGTGTTGAATTTTATAGAAATTTATTAGATTTTATTGATCACCACTAAAGCATAATATATATTTGATGTCTGTTCATATACAGCTGCTCATCGTCCTCCTGAGAAAGCTAAAGTTGGTGGCCTCAATCATGGTTACTGTCTGGGCTGTGGCGTTTGTTATTATAATTCATTATCACCTCCCAAAGCATGCAATCCTGGGTAAATGGGAGAGGCCCAGTGCCAGGTCATTGAGGGCTTGCAACTGCGAAGGAAGAAAAGAATAAACAGCTGGAAGGGCCACTCTGCCCCTCCCACCGCACACACGCACAGTGGCTGACTTCAGCATGCTCACCGTGGGACTTTGCCAGAAGCAGCATTGTCTTGTTTTTTTTTTTTTTTTTCTTTTTAGAGACGGGATTTCACCATGTTAGTCAAGATGGTCTCGATCTCCTGACCTCTTGATCCACCCTCCTCAGCCTCCCAAAGTGCTGGGATTACAGGCGTGAGCCACCGCGCCCGGCAAAGCAGCATCGTCCCTGCACTAAGTGCTTCCTCTTCCCTGGCTCTGCATTCCTGTGTGTGTACATGTGCATGTGTGTGAGGAAGACAGGTGTGTGGGGCAGTTGACCGTGAGATGCTCAGAAGAAAGGCCCTGTGTCATACTGTGTTCTCAACTTTTCAGTATGTTCAGAAATCTTGCAAAATCAAAGGTTAGAAAATACCACTTAAAGGAATCCCAGCTTGTCCAACACGCCTTATTTTGCAATTGCTGTTCTATTTTGCGGCTGTTGTTCTATTTTGCGGTTGTTGTTCTATTTCGCGTTGTTTGTTTGGTTTTAGGCTTTTAGCAGTCCAAAGCTGTGGTCTTTAGTTTCTGTCTCTAGCGATAAGTGGAAAAGAGGGATGAGGAAAGGGTTTCACTGGCCCAACCAGAAACAGAAAGGAAGAACCCATGACTGTGTTCTCTACCTTCAACACCCCTGCGAGCTCTTGCACGGACTGAGATTTCAGAACTATGACTGTCACTTTTATTGTTAAGGTTCTGAAAATTGAGGAGTTTTCCCCTTGGTGAGCCCCCACTGTGAAACACCTCCATCTCCTAGGGCCTCCTGGCCCATCCTTATCCCCTTGTTCCAGATCCTGGGAGGAGAGGGGTAAATGCAGAGGGTGATTCTGCCCCCAATTCTCAGGATCCTTAGGAAACAGGGATGGAGTGTGACACTGACATTTGGGTCACAGTGAGTTCCTGTAGTTGCCTACAGTGGGGATCTTAGGTTAGGTGTTGCAGTTTGGATGTGGTTTGGTCCTGCCAAAACTCATGTCGAAATTTGATCCCCAGTGTGGCAGCATTGGGAGGTGGGGCCTAGTGGGAGGTGTTTTGGTGTAAGGATAGATCCCTCCTGAATAGGCGAATGTCCTTTTGTGGGGTGAGCTCTCACTTTTGATTTCTCAGGCATAGATTGATTTTTGCTGGAGTGGGTTGTTAGGACCCTGGCTCCCCTTGGTTTCTCTCTCCTGTTTCTTCTTTTGCCTGCGGTGTCTGCACACTAACTTGCCTTCTGCATTCTGCCAGGAGCTGAGGCCGTGTGAAGTCCTCGCCAAATGTAGCTGCTAAATCTTGAACCTTCCAGCCACCAGAATTGTGAGGCAAATAAACCACTTCTTTTTATAAATTACCAAGCCTCGAGAATGCTGTTAGAGCAACACAAAGCTAACTAAGACAGCAGGTTAGCCCAGAAAATAAATCAATAGCAAAGAAGAATTTTCTGGGTGCAGGTCTGTTCCTCCCCACCTCCATTCCATGCAAGATGCACCGAGAGGGCATCCTCCCACCCTGCTCTTCTCTCTGTCTCCCAGTGTAGCAGACAGTCCAGGCTTGTGATTGGCAGGACTTGTTAATTAATGCCCACAGAGGTTTCCATGGCCAGCTGGTGTCCCCACACCCATGATTTCAGATAAGATCTCAATCGTTTCACTTTCCCCATCTTTCTCCTTATCCTCTCTGGAACCCACTGCACTGGGCAGCCAGCACAGCCCCAA